AAGAGTACTCCTTTGAAGAATACTCTAGAAACTTGTAGATATGCCCACCTTGTGTATAATTCTTTAGAGAGTTCTAGACTAGATAGTGGCCTATAGAATTCTAGAATGTTCATAGAAGGGTCCCCTTGGCCTATAAATAAGGGAAACCTCCTCATTTGTGGACCAAATTCCAAAACAGCCTTGTAAAGTTCTCTTCTAGTAATACAACTTTACTTGTCTACTCTTTGCCTGCCTTCGTGAGTTTGAGTGAATTAGGCTTTCTTAGCATTTAAGTGAGTGCTAAGGCCGCACGTTTGCTTACTTGAAGAGTAAGAGCGTGACATATTGCTGCCAAACACACTTGTGCCTTTCAAAAAATTAAGATGCAACTTTGAATATTAACACACTCAATTTTTAATCTGTCTTGGCAGATTTGAACTCATCTTTTAAGCTTTCCTTAATTACGATGCTCTTCATCCTCTCCCACAACCATGCAAATGCGAGCATTGGTCTATAGCTAGCGTGTGAAGTTGAGAGCTGCTTAGTTTTTCTCCTCTAAAATCTAAATCAATCTTAAATTAAAACCAAATACGTAATTTAATGTAATACCTCTCATTCTGATGGTATAATGTTTACGTGGTGTACTCGTTGTAACAAATAATTAACATAGACATGATTTATCTGTGTTAATTTCAGTTTATGTATAATCGAGTCACCAATTAAGATAAAATACATTTGGAGGGATACAAAACTTGTCCGAGATCTTGTAAAATGTGTTTCTGGAAGCTGCTTTTAATATTTCCAAAATAAGTTAAAATGTATAGTGAAGTCATGGAGTATTAATTTTGATTCCTTTTTTTTTATAGAAAAAAATAATGAGAATTCTTGCTATTCAATATTATGTCTTGAAGAGGACTCAACTAAGAAAGAACTACAGGGCGCAAAACAAAAAAAAAAGAAAAAGAAAATTGCTGATTGGGAGTTTGATTATATATTCTTATACTTTTGAATCAACCAAATGAAAAGCAGAGACCGCACTAAATAATAAAAAATGGTGTGGGATGAGTAAGAGTATGTTTGGTGTTGTGTGGGAAAATATGATGGACACCTGGACCAACGGCACCACGACACGTGGCTATACTTGCTTTCCGCCGAGCACTCAACCCTCGACGCTTTATTTCCCTCAAGATCAGCTGTAGAGCCCGAAGATGAAGTCCGTGATTAGGGCGACGACCCCATGAGGCGTCGACGGTTGACTCTGCCTGGGTTGACACAACAAGATCCCTCGACTGTAGAAAAGATCGCTAGAAAGGGCGAGAAAGGCTAAACAGCGCTGACGACGAGGGGAACGTGCCTTTAAGACACGACGGGTTACGTGCAAAAGTAAGAGAAGTCTGACAACATTAATTGCAAGTTTACAAACCGCCCCCCAGGGGACAGAAAAGCATTACGGAGAGTCACAGAGCTGTAATAGAAGACTAATTGGTTGAGTGAACAGTACTAATTAGTGGGCTATGTCTGGGCCTAGAGAGCACTTGAGTGTTCCTACCTACGAAGGAAACCCACCCAGTGAAGGAAGCCTGAGTATAAAAGAAGAAGGACCCCCAATAGGGAAGAGGTCCAGAGATTCCAGAGGAGAAAGAACAAGAGAGAGAGATAGCATTTATTGTAAATTATAATCTCCACAAAAGAAATACAATATACACAGTGGATGTAGCTCTAATTTTATAGAGTGAACCACTATAAAATTCTTCTTGTTCATTTACATACAGTTCATTCAAACACAAAAATACTTAAATCAAACTAGAATCCACACTTTCATTAAACCCACAAGCCGATAATCCAAAGGGTAACCCCAAGGTAATCCGGCGGGTTTATTGTTGACGAAATCCAACCGTCAACAATTGGCGACTCCGCTGGGGACCGGAAGCGTTCGACCCCCGAAAGTATAGTTACAAACGTCCATCCGCCCAAAGAGTAGCGGGATGGAAGGAGATTTACGCCCAGATAGAAATGGAGTCCCACCTCCCGATGCACCGCGGCCGGATCCGATGCAGATGCAAGCCCAAATAACCACTTTGACCGAGTTGGTACGTGGGCTAGTAACCGTGGTTGAACGATTAGACGGAAGGAACTCCATGCCGCCACTAGAGGATGCCCCAAGACCACAGGGACCTGCCGTGATGGAAAATATGAATCACGGTAACCGCCCGCATATCCAAGAAGGGACCGGGGAAAGCGAGAACCACCAGGGCCCTCCTAGGCCTCGACCCTCCCATCCCTCCGGCAGCCGTTTGAGAGCCGCTGGAATCCGAGCCATCGAGGAACTGCCCCAAAATCCCGGAGGAAACTGGCCAGGAAACTCAGGGTCGGTGCAGGCGGGCGGTCAGGCCAGAGGTGGGCCCATCGCTCAAAGGGCGGAAGTGCCGGGAGCTGCTGGTTCAGTTGTATTCACAGAAGAAGCGCGGACCCTCATGGAATGCATGGCCAACCTGGAAAGAAGACTGACCGGGGACGTCACGGGGCTGAAAAAGAACATTGGGCGGGTGGCCGAGGTGGTAAACGTCGACATTACGCCCAGTCGCACGCATGACCATCCGTTCACCGCGGAGATAATGGCACCCCCCCTCCCCGATAAATACAAGTCGCCGTCGATTCCACCTTACGACGGACGAGGAGATCCCGACGACCATTTGGAAATGTATACGGGGCACATGCTCTTGCACGGATACGCCGAAGAGATCATGTGCCGAGCCTTTCAGAACCACCTGACAGACTCTGCCCGAAGATGGTTCCGAACGCTGAAGCCAAACTCTATCTCCAGCTGGGATGAACTAAAGGAAGCATTTTCCCTCCAGTTCATCGGGGTTAAAAAATACGTACCCCCAAAGCAGAACCTAACGACGATATATCAAAAACCAAATGAGACGTTAAGGGAGTGGCTTGCCAGATACGGCGAGGCCGTCGCCGCTACGATGGATATCACGGACAGAGAAGCCCTGATGGGAGCGTTATCCAGTATGAAGAAGATAACTCCCTTCAAAAGGGAACTAAACCGAAAACCCCCTTCCAGCTACAAAGAGTTCCTTACAAGGGCGCAAGGATACATCAATGCTGAAGAAGCGGATGCCAACGACCCCGATCATAGGTCCAATAAGGGTAAAGGAGCCGAGCAGGGGTCGGCGCCATCAAAGCAAGACGGGAAGAAGCGTCGAGGAGGAGGAAGCGGAGACAAACAACCGACCCCGACGCGAGGAGCGCCGGAGGCCAAGAAGCCAAGACAGGAGGATACCCGTAAGCCTTGGCTGTTTCAGAAATACAACACCTACCATGAACTGACGGTAGGCGTCGAGGAGATCTTCAACCAGATCGGCTGAGGAAACTTGCTGCGCCGACCTGAACCAATGAAGTCGGATCCTAACCAAAGGAACCAAAAGAAATTCTGTAGGTTCCATGGCGAGGTCGGCCACCACATGAATGATTGCGTTGACCTCAAAGATGAAATCGAAAGAATAATCCGCGAAGGAAGGCTGCAGGAATTCAGGGCCGGACGAAGACCTCGCAACGATGGCCATGGCGGGTAAAATGACGGTCGACGCTGAGAGGAGAACCACCGCTCGGAAGATCGGGAACCTATCGGCGTCATACGAACGATCCTCGGCGGCCCCTACATAGGAGGAGACACGCGGAGGTCGCATAAGGACTACGCCCACGAGGCCAAGGGGGTATACCAGGAACGGTTATGGAACGTCTCTGCCGCAAAAAGCCCGAGGCATAGCCACACTGACGTGGCCTTCAATGAGGATGACGCCAGCGGAGTCCATTTCCCCCACAACGACGCACTGGTGGTGGAAGCAGTGATTGGAAACCCCACCGTGTGTCGAATCTTGGTGGACAATGGAAGTTCGGTGGACCTCCTGTATTCCGACTGCTTGGAGAAAAGGGGGATCCATGAGGGGCAGTTGGAAAGAACCACCAGGCCACTGTACGGGTTCACGGGAGACTCCGTCATTCCTCAAGGTACTATCCGACTACCTATAACCACCGGAGAAAAACCTCGACAGGCAACAACGATGGCCAACTTTGTGGTCATCAAAGGAGGCTCCCAATACAACGCAGTAATCGGGAGACCAATCCTCCAGGCATTGAAGGCAGTAACCTCCGTCTACCACCAAAAGGTCAAATTCCCCACCCCAAACGGCGTAGGAGAAATTAAGAGCAACCAATACAAAGCCAGGATTGCATACTCCGATGCCCTACGCGGATATGACCAGCCGGGAAGACAGGAAACGAGGATGGTTCAACAAGGCCTCGTTGAGGATATAGACCCTCGGGTCCAAGAGGAAGTTACTTGGTCTCAGCCCATCGAACAGTTGGAAGAAATCCAGATTGACGAAAGCGGAACCATCAAAATACTAAAAATAGGTTCGGACTTGACCCCACCACTCAAAAGCAGGATTGAAAATTTCCTCAGGCAGAACCTAGATGTCTTCGCCTGGAGCCACTCCGACATGAAGGGGATCGACCCCAAAGTAATGAGTCATTCCCTAAACGTCGACCCCACGTATCCTCCCAAACGCCAAAAACGGCGACCAATGAACCCTGAGAGGTACGAAACGCTGAAGGAAGAGGTCGACAAGTTAATCAACAATGGATTTATCCGGGAGGCGCATTATCCACGTTGGGTATCTAATCCTGTCTTGGTAATCAAACCTAACGAGAACTGGAGAACATGTGTCGACTTCAGTGACCTCAACAAAGCATGCCCAAAGGATGGCTTCCCACTTCCTCGAGTAGATCAAATGGTCGACGCCACGGCGGGGCACGAAATGCTGAGCTTCATGGACGCTTACTCCGGATACAATCAAATCCCCATGCATCCAGCCGACGAAGAGCACACATCTTTCATAACAGATAGGGGTCTCTACTGCTACAAGGTGATGCCTTTCGGCCTAAAGAATGCAGGGGCTACTTACCAAAGGCTAGTAAATAAAATGTTCGCTTAACAGATCGGCAAAACGATGGAGGTCTACGTCGACGACATGCTCATAAAAAGCGTCAGGGCCAGCCATCACGTCGATCATCTGGGAGAGATGTTCAACATATTGAGAAAATACCGCATGAAACTTAATCCCCAGAAATGTGCCTTCGGAGTCGGGTCAGGAAAGTTTCTCAGTTTTATGGTCAGTAACCGCGGGATTGAGGCCAACCCTGAGAAGATCAAAGCTCTGCAAGACATGCGGTCACCAATAAGGCCAAAAGAGGTGCAGAGATTGACAGGTTGTGTCGCCGCCCTAAATAGATTCATATCGAAAGCCACTGACAAGTGTGTCCCCTTCTTCGACGCTTTGAGAGGAAACAAGCGCTTCGAATGGACACCACAGTGCGAGGAGGCCTTCCAAAAATTGAAGGAGCATTTGGGCAAACCCCCAATTTTGTCAAAACCAAACGCTGACGAAGAGCTCAGCCTATACCTCTCCGTGTCCCAACACGCCATGAACTCCGTACTGATAAGGGAAGAAGGGAAGGTACAATTGCCGATCTACTATGTGAGCAAAAGACTCCTCGACGCCGAGTCGAGATACAGAGAAATAGAACGTCTAGCCCTCGCCTTGATGATAGCTTCGAGAAAGCTTCGGCACTACTTCCAATCCCACACAATACGAGTTCTCACAAACCACCCGTTGAGACAGGCCTTACAAAAGCCGGAAACGTCCGGATGGCTCCTCAAATGGTCGGTAGAACTAAGCCAGTTTGATATAAAATACATGCCAAGAACCGCTATTAAAGGTCAAGCGCTCGTCGACTTTCTGGCTGAATTCTCTCACAGGCCGACCTACACCCCATCTGAAGAAACCGAGGTTGCAAGATGGAAGCTTTACGTGGATGGGGCGTCGAGCGAAAATGGATCAGGAGCCGGCGTCTTACTAATCAGCCCTGAAGGCCACAAGATTACCTCGGCGGTACGGTTCAAATTTAAGGCATCAAATAATGAGGCGGAATATGAAGCCCTAATTGCCGGATTACGTTTAGCGAACCAATTAAAGGTCGAGAGGATCAGCGTCTACAGCGACTCCCAGCTAGTCGTCGCGCAAATAAAGGAGGAATATCAAGCACGCGGCGAGAAGATGGGGGCATATCTGAGAAAGGTAAAAGAGGAGCTTGTTAAATACAAAAACTACGAGATACTCCAGATCCCACGAGCTGAAAATGCAAACGCGGATGCACTGGCAAAGCTGGCTTCATCAAAGGATGCCGACACACTAGGCGTTGTCCCCATTGAAGAATTGGAACGGCCGACCATCGAGGAGCACGCCAAGGCATTTAGTGTCCAAGAAGGAGAAAACCGGATGACACCACTCATACGGTACCTAATGGACGCACAGATGCCAAATAATAAAGATGAGGCCCGACGAATCAGGTATAGAGCCGCCAGGTACTTATTATACGATGGCCTGCTCTATCGACGAGGCTACTCAACACCTCTACAACGGTGCCTAGATGATGCCGAAGCCCAGAAGGTCCTCCAAGAAATACATGAAGGGATCTGTGGCAATCATACCGGGGGACAATCTTTAGCGCTAAAGGTTTTGAGGCAAGGATACTACTGGCCCACACTCAAAAAGGATGCTTTCCAGTACACCCGACGATGCGATAAATGTCAAAGGTATGCCACGATTCCTAGGGAAAAGCTAACTTCCATTCTCAATCCATGGCCCTTCGCCAAGTGGGGGATTGACCTGATCGGGCCATTGCATCCTGCACCTGGGGGGTTGAAATTCGTGATCATTGCGGTAGACTATTACATAGAGTGGGCAGAGACCAAGGCCCTAACTACAACCATGGAAGCAACCTGCACCAAATTTATGTGGGACCACATCGTGTGCAGGTTTAGGGTTCCCCACTCGATAGTGTCCGACAACGGGAAGCAGTTTGACAACGCCGTGACACGCAGATTTTGTGACGGTTTGGGCATCTGAAAAGACTTCTCGGCGCCAATCCATCCACAGTCAAATGGGCAAGTCGAGGTCATCAATAAAATACTCAAATATACCCTAAAGAAGAGACTCGATGACCTAAAAGGGAGATGGGCCGAGGAGCTTCCCAAAGTTTTGTGGGCATACAGAACAACAAGCCGAACTACGACAGGAGAAACACCTTTCTCCATGGCGTATGGCGTCGAGGCGGGACTTCCCCTAGAAATCGAAACGCCGACTCTAAGAACTGTTGTCCATAACGACGAGGATAACGCGGAGGGCATGAACGGAGAACTCAATTTATTGGAAGAAAAACGACTCGACTCCCAACTACGTCTCGCCGCTTATCAGCAACGGACAGTGCGATACTACAATAAGAAAGTTCGGCAAAGGAGGTTCATCCCGGGAGACCTAGTATTAAAAAGGGTGACACAAAGCACAAAACCCAAGAATACTGGTCCCTTGGGCCCAACTTGGGAAGGACCCTATCGCATAGGGGAAATGCTACGACCTGGCACCTACGTATTAGAAAGCCTCGACGGAAAAAAGGTTCAACACCCATGGAATGCTGAGCAACTAAGGTTGTACTACCAATAATGTATGAAGTTTTTATGCGTTTTTTATTGTACATTCTTTGTAAATATAGTAAATTGATATGTTTTCAGCATGAGATAGATTGACCCCTTAATAACGTGTCTGCTTAAAAGAAAACCCAAGGATGTGTTTAACAGACGCGGGGGGAATGAAGGCGCTCGAATCACTTGGTGAAATTCTAAGGAATTTCCTAAGGCGACGACCCAAAGGGATAAGCTCGACGTCAAATCCTCCAAGGGGGAAAGACATAACACTTAGTGAAATTCTAAGGAATTTCCTAAGGCGACGACCCAAAGGGATAAAGCTCGACGTCAAATCCTCCAAGGGGGAAAGACATAACACTTAGTGAAATTCTAAGGAATTTCCTAAGGCGACGACCCAAAGGGATAAGCTCGACGTCAAATCCTCCAAGGAGGGAAAGACATAACACTTAGTGAAATTCTAAGGAATTTCCTAAGGCGACGACCCAAAGGGATAAAGCTAGACGTCAAATCCTCCAAGGGGGAAAGACATAACACTTAGTGAAATTCTAAGGAATTTCCTAAGGCGACGACCCAAAGGGATAAGCTCGACGTCAAATCCTCCAAGGAGGAAAGACATAACACTTAGTGAAATTCTAAGGAATTTCCTAAGGCGACGACCTAAAGGGATAAAACTCGACGTCAAATCCTTCAAGGAGGAAAGACATAACACTTAGTGAAATTCTAAAGAATTTCCTAAGGCGACGACCCAAAGGGATAAGCTCGACGTCATATCCTCCAAGGAAGAAAGACGACACTTAGTAAATTCTAAGGAATTTTCTAAAGAGAAAGAGAAAGGAAATCAATGATTATGAATCAAGGTATGAACAAAACCCATTGCCTTTATATATATATATATATAAAAATGCGGGTAACATAAAAATTGTCTGAAGGCAATAACAAAAAGAGTGACAGAAGATGGTTCCTTAAGCATTGACGCCACCAGCCGCTGGCTCCTCGCCGCCACCAAGGGAGGGAGCGTTCTCTTCGTCGCCACCAGGAGGGGGCACTTCCTTGTCGCCAGCAGGAGTAGGAGAGTTGTAGAGGAAGCCCAAGCCCCAATCAGGATGCTCCTTTTTGATCAGGTCAACAATTTGCTGACCCGCCGACTGGAAATCATTATTGCGGATATCAAGGAGCTCTTGAGAAGCCTTGAACTCCTCAATAATGCGCCCGTCTGGCGTCGAAGGTTGCCTCGGCCTCCATCTTCCCGTCAACCTTTCCCTCGGAATAGCGATTCTCGGCATCCACGATCGCCCCAGTCAATTTCTTTTCAGACAAGTCAGCCCGTCGAGTAAGCCTTGCAACTTCAGCCTTCAGCTTGGTTAATTCACTTTCCAGGCTAATCAGTTGGGCCTTCGCCAAATCTCTCTCCTCGACGGCATCATCCATGTCCTTCTTGACCTCATCGACGAGAGACTGAAGCTTGGCCTCCAAATCGTCCATCTCGCCCTTATGCTCCTCGACCTTGATTAGGTCAAGGAGGTTAAGAAGGGAAAGGACGAGGCTCTGGGAAATAGCAAGAAATCAGGAAAAGGAAAAATATAAAAAAAAAAAAAAAACTTACGTGGATCTGGAAGGAGATCTGCTTGCGTTGGCGGTCGACTATGGAAGACTGGGATGCAGCGACCCAATGGGGCTCAAGGAACGACTCGTATAAGGCCTGGAAGACGAGGGAAAAGTGAGGAGGGAGTTTTAGCATCGCCCCGACCTCGGCGTCAGAAATATCTGAGACCTGGAAATTCCCGTCCATAATCTTCCCCCCCCCCCCGGGATCAGTACGCGTTCTCTTGGTCCCGGGGGAGCGCGGACATCGGGAATGGGCACTACCGGTGTCTAGGTCTTATCAATCGACGCCTGGCTAGGGGCCGACTCCTCAGTACGCCTTCTCTTGTGCTTGCTCTTTTTGCCCTTCGGTGCAGGGCAGGAAGAGCCGGCCTTCTCCTTCCCCTTTGCCGAAGGCTGTTGGCCTGACGGGGGCTGCGGGACGGACGGCGGCTGTTGGCTCGGCGCCTGTTGTTGACTCGGCACCAGCCGTTGGCCCCCAGGAAGCTGGATCCTCAAAGATGCCATCTCAAGCAAGAAAAAGAAGGTACCGTCAGCGTTAGGAGAACACAAATCTTAATTCAACAAGGTGTCGAGAGAGTAATTACCCTCGTCGCTTAAATGGAAGTACAAGCGAACGGCATCGAGGTCTAAAGGGTTGGGAAGGTCGAGAATTAGGCCAGCAGTACGAAGGTTCTCCCTGGTCAGGAGCGTATCAATGTGGCGAACCTCCGACGAATAGGAAAAAGCTTCCTCGATCCTCGCCAAACTGTTACCAGAGAACTTTAACCGGTCCTGATTAACTACGACATAGGGGACTCCTCGTCAACTTATGAAAAAGGGGCAAGGTCAGATAAAAAGAGAATCGAGGGGCTTACTCATATTTCTGAACGCCGCCTAGACCAGCCTTCGGCGGGGCTGGCAGCCGTTGGGATGGAAGTTAAAGGGCCCACGAATCATGAAAAACATGGGCTTCCACCCATGTGACGACGAGGGGATGCCCAGAATGAGCTTCCCAAACCTAGGCCGAGCCCTCCCATGGCCGCTCAGAAAGTACCACCCATCGCACTTGGCAACGTGGCACAACTTGTACATAAATCGGAACTCGTCCAGTGGGAGTTCCATGTCGAACTTCTGGTTCCATCGAATCCAGGCTCCCGCAAAGCAGTACCAGAAGTTCGGCGCTAATTGGGCAGGAGAGATGCCGTAAAAATGGCAATAATCTTTTACAAAGGGATGAATTGGGAGAGTCATCCCTGCAGTTACCGCTCTTGTGTAGACCGGAAGGTATCCGGTCGGCGGCATGCTGGTCCTAAAATGCTTATCCGAGAGGAGGTACTCGAACCACCTCCCGTCGATACATCCCCCTTCACAGCCCGAATGATATCCTTATTTCAGACCTTCGACGCCACATCATCGGCTGTAAAAGAGGGCCTATCTGGGTCCCCGCTCGTGGCAGCCAGGGGGGCATCTACCGTCGCAGCGGCTACTCCACTTATACTCCCCCCCGTAAAAGGGATCCGCTTGACCACCTCATCTATCATTCGTTCGACGCTACCGAATTCACTTCTGAAATCGTCGCCCGGCTCAAAACTTCCCTCGACATCCTCGATATCCCTAAGCACAGAGCTGACACCGGAAGACGAAGAGGTCCATGAGATCTCTACCACTAAAGGGGGTCAGAACGGACGACAGAAGGAGAATCCTCTCGACTGGGTGAACTTTGGGCCATTGTTCTGGTAATAACAAGGACAAAAAGCTAAGTTAAAACCCTAACGTCGAGAGGAATAAACGGTGACTACTCTAAGCGACGACTAGTTAAACGTCGACCATTCATACAAGAATGGTAACGAGAGTGTTCATAGGAACCGCGGGTTCCCCAAAACCCAGAAACCGAAGACAAAACAGACAAAAATGCGCGTATATAAAAGCCAGGTCATCCGGTACGACAGAACACAATAAAGTAAGTATCTTTAACTAATATATGTTCTCATTTTCTGCATATATGTTTACATATTCCTGGTACACAACGGGAGAAACCCCGTGAGTACGCAAAGAGAGAAAAGGTCCAGAAACTTACCGGTGAAGAAGTATATCCGGGACGGTTTCGTAGTACACCACGGAGGACGGGAAGGACGAAGGCGGAAGTTCAGCAAGCAGGGTTCCGGCAAAAGTACGGATGTCCCGGCAAAGCAGCAGCAAAAAGTTTTTTTGAAGTTTCGAAGAAGGAAAAAATGACCCTCGGATTCATGAAGAGTATTTAAAGAGTCGGGAATGAAGACCCCCAACCGTCGGATGAAAACCCCAAAAGACCAACGGCCAGGGATCACTCTCCGAATCTGACGGTAAGGAGAAGGGCGGGAAATCGAAAAGACACAAATCCGACGGCCTATATTCGTTTTCTTGAAACACGGATACTCATCATTATGCCAAACCAATCGACGCGACGGTTACACACCCAAAGCACCCAGGCCATCATTGCGGATGAAGGTTCGGGACCGATTTCCCACACCCGAAGCACGGAAAGGACAGACCGAACCTAGAGCTCGAGGCCGCCTAAGAAAGGAGCCCTCGACCTGGGGGGTGGCTGTTGTGTGGGAAAATATGATGGACACCTGGACCAACGGCACCACGACACGTGGCTATTCTTGCTTTCCGTCGAGCACTCAACCCTCGACGCTTCGTTTCCCTCAAGATCAGCTGTAGAGCCCGAAGATGAAGTCCGTGATTAGGGCGACGACCCCATGAGGCGTCGACGATTGACTCCGCCTGGGTTGACACGACAAGATCCCTCGACTGTAGAAAAGATCGCTAGAAAGGGCGAGAAAGGCTAAACAGCACTGATGACGAGGGGAACGTCCCTTTAAGACACGACGGGTTACGTGCAAAAGTAAGAGAAGTCTGACAGCATTAATTGCAAGTTTACAAACTGCCCCCACCCCCCCCCCCCCCCCCCCTTGCAAGTTTACAAACCGTCCCCCCTAGGGGACAGAAAAGCATTACGGAGAGTCACAGAGCCGTAATAGAAGACTAATTGGTTGAGTGAACAGTACTAATTAGTGGGCTATGTCTGGGCCTAGAGAGGGAGAGCACTTGAGTGTTCCTACCTACGAAGGAAACCCACCCAGTGAAGGAAGCCCGAGTATAAAAGAATAAGGACCCCCAATAGGGAAGAGGTCCAGAGATTCCAGAGGAGAAAGAACAAGAGAGAGATATAACATTTATTGTAAATTATAATCTCCACAAAAGAAATACAATATACACAGTGGATGTAGCTCTAATTTTATAAAGTGAACCACTATAAAATTCTTCTTGTTCATTTACATACAGTTCATTCAAACACAAAAATACTTAAATCAAACTAGAATCCACACTTTCATTAAACCCACAAGCCGATAATCCAAAGGGTAACCCCAAGGTAATCCGGCGGGTTTATTGTTGACGAAATCCAACCGTCAACATTTGGTATGATGAAAAAGTGGAAGGAAGGAAGTATGTAGAAGAATTATTGGATGAAAAATGATAGAGTTAGTTGTTTGATAAGAATGAAGAGAGGAGAGAAAAGAAAATATGATGGAAAAGAATTATGGTGGGATAATTTTTTTTATCTCTCTAACATTAGAAAGAAAACTCAAATTCACTCATTGATGGCTAAATTTACTTTTGTGTCCTTATCTTAAAATCTAAATTAATATTAAACAAGTGATAAAATAATCATTTAAGTTATTATATATTTTTTTTCCTTCTCATTGTACCAAACATTATATTTTTTTTTTCCTTCTCATTGTACCAAACATTTAAGTCATTATCTTAAAATCTAAATTAATATCTACAGCTGTTCTCTCCGTCTACTTTTTTTTATCTTTCTTTCACATTTTTTTTATGCGTTTTCTTTTCATTTTCTTTTTTTTTCCCACCTATTAAACGGAGTGTAAAAAAAGAGACACATCCATATCAATTTATTTTAAGCACATGAGAGTAAGAGGGGACCAGCTGTAAGTAACATTAAAATAAATTAATGGACTCGCTATTATTCGTGGCTAATGAAAGAGTACATTTCCTTTTGAAAAAGAAAATCTCAAAACATTTAGCGAGGAAATAATATTAGGATTTATTTGCAGAGAAACATATATAATTATATATATATATATATATATTTTGGCTTTCAGAATCTGAAAGTGTATTTTAACAATTAGAAAAGACTGAGAGGTCTTCATCTCTCCGCACAAACAAAGAAAAAACTGATACAATCAAAATCAATCATTTCATTTTTATATTCAAACCAAAACCAAACCAAGCCAGGTACTATTCTGTTCTCTCCGTCTACTCTCTTCTCGCTTTCTAATCTAATCTAATCTTTAATCTAATCTAATTACTAAACGAACAAAAGAAAAGACTGCTTCTGCATTTGCTATTTGCTAACACAAATATCTTCATTAAAAAAAAAAAAGAATCTTCAATGGGCATGATGGTAGTTATCAATTTGTACACCAAACTTGTTTCTCCCTGTCGAAGCGTGGCATTTTGTATTCGGGTTTTTTCTGGATTTTTTTTTAAATTTTTCATGAATATCCCACCTTTATGGCGATAAATTATCATTGCTTGGTTAATTATGTTTTCTTCTGTTCAAAATATTGCTTGGATTCTCAGTCTGATTATTATAATAACTATATATTGCAGTACTGATTTTGTAATTAAACCGTATTTTTTTTTTTTTGGAAATCTTTGGGAATATGTTATTTATATTTTGAAAATGGAGCCTGTTCAGCTGAATTTTTGTGTTAAGAGTTTTTTTTTCTGAAAATATGATTCATTTCAACATTTTCTCTCTTATATCTGATAAAGACTTTTTAGCTGAATTCATGTCACTTTTGTTGCATCTCATAGCCTAGTTGTACTAAGAAATGGACTTGGCTTTTGCTTCTCCATTGTACATTTCGACCGGAAGGAGAAGAGCCGTTGACAAGATTAAGCCTTGTGGCTCATTTCTTCTCTCGAACAAAAAGGCGTTCACGTTGTCACCCCGCTCGGCGACTCTAGCATCCCAGCCAACTCAAGTGGTTCTTTACTCCATTTCTCCCCATGCCTTCTTTTCTTTTCTTTCAAACCATTTCCTTACATACTCATGACTGTGCTTGATTGTTTTTTTTTTTTTTCCCCAGGCCATAGAATTTGAGGTCGAGAACAAAAAACACGATCTCCTGAGAGCGATCCAGGACACACAACGCGGCCTCGTAACGACTGCTGATCAGCGCTCTTCGATAGAGGAGGCCTTGGTCTGCTTCCTTCCTTCCTTCCTTCATTATTTGTTTTGTTTAAGCTACCTCTCTATCTTATGTCATTCTTGTTTAAAGAGGCTCTTTCATGAAATATCTTTTACTGTGCGTCAGGAGTAATATATCGAGGTTGTTCTGTACTGAATTGCAAACAAAATTGGCAGGTGACTGTGGAAGGTTACAACAGGGGTGCGCCCATTGACTTGGAGAAATTGGACGGGACGTGGCGCTTGCAGTATACCTCAGCCCCTGATGTTCTTGTTCTTCTGGAAGCTGCTGCAAGGCTTCCCTTCTTTCAGGTATAAACACCATTGCTTTTATCTTGACTTTCCTTGCGATACCATTTCTTTTTTGTATTGTGACTACAAAAAAGAAAAAAAAGAAAAGCTCTGCTTCAAATTTCTGAACTTGTCATTGAACCCCTAATACCGCTTCCAAGTGAAGAGAGAGGGAAAAGAAAGTAAAACACATAGAATCAATTTCTTTTCCTTTCAAATTATGATATATACCTGAAATTTTCTGAGTCTAAAAAACAGTTCGAGTCCTTTTGGTCCTTGTAAATTGTTTTTCTTGCTGAAAAAGCTTTATCTATGAAGAGTTACTCCATTATTTACAGATCCTTGTACAATACTGGAGACCAGCGGTTTGTGCTTTTTTTATTAGTGCGACCTTGGTTTAATAATTCACTCTTCATAACCTTTTTCCCTACTCTTGATTCCGTTTCTCATTCTTATTTGGAACAGTTTGTTTTCAACTCGTGTCATTTATGATTCTGTCTACTCTTGGTTTCCTTCTGGATCATTTGCTTTGCATTAATGTGGTTACAGGTCGGTCAAATCTTTCAAAAATTCGAATGTCGGGATCAATCCAGGGGGGGTATCATCCGCAATGTCGTTCAATGGAGTATCCCAACTCTACTAGAGGTATGAAAGTACACCTTACTCCCTATTTTCAAACCATTTCTTTACTTTGGAATAACTAAGCCTAGGATATAGTATGTCAATATCAGACCAAAGGACGTCTCTCTGTTAAACTCCAGCCATTACGTTTCCTTCTAATGTTTTGGTTTTCCGTCTTTCAGGAACAAGAAGGTGCAACTCTTCTTGTGTCTGCAAAGTTTGATCTTGTTTCCATTCGTAACGTCTACCTTCAGTTTGAAGAGGTCAGTTTCCGCACTTTTATGAAATGATGATTTCTAAAATGTCGAATGCATGTGGATGTTCCCTAATATTTGGTTGACTGGCGAGGTTATTTACTTATAAGAAACTGAACTCTATTAATAGGAAGGAAAGGGGGAAAACATCCGATTCCCTCTGGTCTTTTATGAAGACATGTTCTGGGGGTTGCCTCACTGTAGGTTTCTGTTATTTGTCGTGCTCTTGTTTGTTATTCTTTTTTCTTCTTATAGTATTGCCTCCAATTTAAGTCAATAGATAGAAAACAGGACCATAGACAACCCGGAACACCAACCACTAGAAACTACTCAAATGCCTAAAATAAGAAAGAAAGGAACATTTTTAAAGCTGTCAGACACAGATGCCCACAAAGAAATCCCAGTATTGAATCCTATCCCAAAGAAAGATTGATCCTGATTGTTATCCTCAAAAGTCTGAGGGTTTCTTTCACGAGTATCCACTGTAACCCACTTTGTAATTTGCACCTACTTTCTGTAGATAATAGCTCCAAAGCAATCAATATTTCCTTTCATATGCAATAACTTCATGTTCACTTTCTTATCATTACTTCTTTTGGAGGCATTATTACATTTACCACATAGAGCATACAGATACAGAGAAAAACATTAGAGAAAAATAAAAATGGAATGCAAACTTCTGTGGGATGAAATTGAAGATAAGTTTCACGATGCCATCCTCCTAAAGAAGGAAATTGCTGACTTCAGCTTTACAATTAGCCAATTAGCTTTTCCTCTGCATAGCTTTGATTCTTGTTGATAAGAAATCAATTTTTGCCCATAACAATAGGTTCAGATTAGGTATTAACCCAACCCTCTCTATTTTCGTTCCAAAATATAACTCTTCTGATTCGATCCTACTAAATTTTGCCGTTCCAATGCAATGCAGTTGATTTTAATGATCATCGTTGACTTTTAGCTGATCCCTGGATTAATTTTATAGGATATGTTGACTTTAACCAAGACTGAAGGAATATGTTTCAGACCAATTAATCATCTAATATGACGTTTATAAAAATTTCTTTTCACAAATATGCTGTGTGTTTCTGCTTTCCATAGTTTATGATCAACTTTCAGCTCTGGCATCATCAAACCTTCAAATGGAAACGTAATTAGCCAATGATATGTGCATGTAGCTTTAGTTATGCAAGGAAATTGATTTCGCTATTCATCAATCTCAATTCATGTGGGCGTAGTCTACAGATGTCATATACTTCTTGAATCCTTGCATCTATATTACAATGTTTTCTTTGCAACTGTAGTCCATAGTTAGACTGTAATTTGTGTTATTCGTTAGTACTTGTTAAGAACTTCTAGATGCCCTTCTTCTAACCTTATTTGAGGCCTTCTTGTTTTATATGACAGATCACTTTTCAGAATTTAAAAATCAGTGAAGAAGTACAGGCTTTAATTGCTTCAGCGATACTACCACGGTCGTTTATAAGTCTCCAGGTGAGTAATGCAAAATGAATGTGATTCCAATTCAACCACAGCCTTGCTTTTTCGAGAACTTATGGATATATTTTGTACAGATTTTGCAGTTCCTTCGTACTTTCAAAGCTCAAATTCCTGTTACAAATCCAGATCCAGGACGGTATGCTAATGTTGTCCAATGCTTGTTGTTTTACATTTCAGTCGTAGATTTGTATGTTGACTTTAAAAAGTAACACACTTCTGAATTGCAGCCGATCAGTAGGAGGCCTGTATTATCTTTCTTATTTAGACTCCAACATGCTTTTGGGACGCGCAGTTGGCAGTGGAGGAGTTTTTGTGTTTACTAGAGCTCAGCCGTTTATCTGCTGAAGAACAATTTATAGCACGCTGCCTGGGATTTGCATGTGGGAAAATATCTGGTCATGGAAATGGCAATATGGCTTACATGCGAATAATGGAGTATGACAATTCTGCCATCTTGTTTATGTATTCCATTTTTAATTTGGGAAATTGCAGTGGCTGAAAATAAATGGCCTTTTTTCCCCTGAATTTTGGAAAATGACCAAAAAAATGATTTATTGAAGGCGGCCATCTTTTTAAAACCGCAAATTTCGGTCATGTTTCTAAATGCACCTTCAAAACCAGTCATTTCTTCAAATCATTTATTTTCTGAACTTGTTGCGACGCATTTCCCAGTTTGCCCACCAAAGGTTCTTCTTGCTTGCGTGCATAATAACTAGGAGGGAGTTTCAAGGCACCTTATATCACTCTACCCTTGTATTTGTCCTACATTCCTACCTTCGTGTTTGCTTGCTTCTGTGATCAAGGTGAAGTTGATTATAATGTCGCAGGTTTATGAGGATTGGAATAACTCCGGTTGCAATTTGGGGTTGCTAAGGTTCGTCACAACGATGGTGTTCATAAGTTTCATGGATACAACTTTTCCTCTTGCTTTACTTTGTTGTTTTCTACACAGGCATTAAACAAAGTACTGTATAGATTTTGATTCCCCAAGGCAACTCCATTGAAAGCTCATTCACAACCTTTGTAATATTTTGCTTGTGGTCAAGAATAAAAATGCTTATGAAATATGATTATGATAAGATCTAAGGCAATTCTCAAGAAATGAGAAGAATTGAGAAGAGAAAGATGAATCTTTATTGAATGAAAGAATGAATTATAATGCAGTGATTCGAGGTACTGCTAACCTCCCCTTGCTTAGCCTAAGCCAAGACTTCCTCAAACTCCAGTATTTTTCCTCCTCTCCCTCAATTCCCGAACCCCCCTTTTAATATCCCCTGCCTTCTCTAACTAATTCCCTCCCCAACTAAAGTCCACAGTAACTAACTAATAACATCCTTTCTAACAAACTACTAACTTCTCTAACCAATTAACAAGTTCCTATCATTACTCCTGCTCCAAACAAACACCTTGTCCTCAAGGTGTAAGTCAAGAAATTGCAGCCGAATGACTCCACTTCCTTCCCATATCGATGAGCTTGAATCTTGGAACGTCAAATGGAGCATTGACTCTAGGAGAGTTAAGCTCAGCGGTGACGAAGGCTACAACAGAGAGGCTTGGAACCATGAACTCGGTAGCGACGATCCCAACAACAATGGGTCCTAAAGCAGTGAACCAGATAAACGTTGGGTTTTGAAGTTGCAAACCCACCAATTTCAAGTCTGCCATTTGCGAACTTCCTAATTTGAACTCTAGGCACACCAATTTATGCATACCTTGCCCCAAACTCGCTGAAATTTCGAGGGTGAACTCCAATTGCACCAAAATTAGCCTCAATCTTGCTGGAATTAGGAAGTCCAGCCCCAACCTTGCTAAAGTTGCCCTGTCCACACAGGCAGACCAAGAAACAGCCCTGATTTCACCAGAACTCACGCCTAAATTCCCGATTCCGGCCCCAAACACGCTGGTGCTGGGAGGCCCATCCCCAATTGCGCAGAAATCAACCCCAATTGCGCCAGAATCTCGGCACCCAATCCAAATCCGGCCGGAATTTCGGAACCCAACCCAACCCTTGTTGGAATTCGCCCTGAAAATCCCTGACCCAGTCCCAATCACGCTGGAAGACGAAGACCTAGTCAAAATTGCTCGAAAATCAGCCGTAATGACTCTTGAATTCAAAGACCCAGTCCTTAAATCCCAAGACGCAGTCTCCAAATCGCCGAAATTGGAACCTATCCCACCGGAGTTGCTAACCCCAACCCTAATCACATGAAGATAGGAACCCATCGGACCGGAATCGTGAAACCCAGTCCCATAGACGCCCGATTCCGCCGTGACTCCGCAAGAATCTTCAAAATCGACACTTAAAACAGGTTGTGTCTCCTCCGTCGATGATTTCTGACGTTGCTCCGCCGCGATTCCCCACTCAAACGCCGACGTTGGTTCCCTAACCTCCACCGTCGACGATTTCGCTATCTCTGACACTGCCAAGAATCACCTCTGTTCTTCCATCATCTTTCGAATCTGAGCAAAATTTTCCCTTACTTTTTTTCTAAATTCCCCAACTCCCTTCATCATTGATTCGTGAGTTTCTCTGATTTCTTTCTTTAACTCATCCAACCTTCCGTCGAATTCCTCTTCAGCCATGCCCAAGAAAGTACCGATTGACTTAGATCTGAGCAATATCGCACCAGATCGCGAAAAATTGCTCGGAGTGCCGTCAGCCTCACGCTGACTCTTGAATTCAAAGACCCAGTCCTTAAATCCCAAGACGCAGTCTCCAAATCGCCGAAATTGGAACCTATCCCACCGGAGTTGCTAACCCCAACCCTAATCACATGAAGATAGGAACCCATCGGACCGGAATCGTGAAACCCAGTCCCATAGACGCCCGATTCCGCCGTGACTCCGCAAGAATCTTCAAAATCGACACTTAAAACAGGTTGTGTCTCCTCCGTCGATGATTTCTGACGTTGCTCCGCCGCGATTCCCCACTCAAACGCCGACGTTGGTTCCCTAACCTCCACCGTCGACGATTTC